CGCACTCTAGTGTTCACTAAGGTGATGAACGTTCTTTCTGTTCATGGCTTGTGATTACTTGTCACAATGAAGGTATGTATCCAAGAATATTTTAAGAATCTATATAAATATTAAGAATAATTAATAACAAAATTTATACTTTGAAATATTAGAAACAATTTCATATATATATAATTTTAGAAATATCTATTTATGTATATGCCTACATTATTATTCAAGTATATAAAATAAATAATTTTATTTAACTTTAATATTATTAATATGTAAATAAATAAATCATATATGTAAAAAATAAAAATAATTTAAATTTTCTTTACGTAAAATATATAAATTTACGAGTTTCATTATTAATATATTATAGTTATAGAACTAATTTGATAAAACTAACTTCATCTTTGTTTTAACGTGCAATATTTGTTCTCTAGCTAAACGTATCTTATCCTGCAACAGGATGTCAGAAATTATTTGAAATCTCAGATGAACATAAACTTAGAATTTTTTACGAAAAGCGCATGGGCGCTGAAGTTGAGGCTGATGCTTTAGGTAACGAATGGAAGGGATATGTTGTTCGCATTTCTGGTGGTAATGACAAACAAGGATTTCCTATGAAACAAGGTGTTTTAACAAATGGTAAGATAAATATTTTCTATTATAATTTTCATTATATCAGCTTTATAAATTTTTATATTTTATAAATTAGTTTAATGATTGAATTTATAATAAAATTATTACTTATAGAAATATTAATATGTTATTATTATGAATAGGACGTGTTCGTTTGTTACTTTCAAAAGGACATTCATGCTACAGACCTAGACGTGATGGCGAGCGTAAACGTAAATCTGTTCGTGGATGCATTGTTGATTCTAACCTCTCAGTACTTGCTCTTGTTATTGTCAAGAAGGGAGAAAAAGTATTAATTTTCTTTCTTATTCTTTATCTAATAATAACCATGTTCTTAGGGTATATCTAAGAATTTGTTTATTATCTTATGATATTATCGTAGACATGGGATATTAAATATCGTTTCTTGATTTGAGAAATTATATTATATGATTTATTTTTTTTCTCAGTGTACAAACGATACATATATTAATGAATTATTTGAATTATAAACACATACATAGATATAGGGATTGATTCATATTTTTTTTAATTAAATTTTTATAGGATATTCCAGATTTAACTGATAAAGATGTTCCACGACGCTTGGGACCTAAAAGGGCAAGTAAAATTCGTAAATTGTTCAATTTATCTAAAGAAGATGATGTACGTCGATTCGTTGTAAAACGACCAATTCAGAAAGAAGGTAAACCAGCACGTTCTAAAGCTCCCAAAATACAACGCCTTATTACTCCACTTACTTTACAGGTAGATATATATACATATATATTTATTATATCATTTTTTTTATTAATTTTAGAAAATTAAAATTATAACAAAAATATTTTTACAGAGAAAAAGACATCGATTGGCTTTGAAGAGAAGGCGTAGTTTGGCTCGAAAACAACAAGCAGCTGAATATGCAAAATTATTGGCGCAAAGACAAAAAGAAGCAAAAAATAGACGCCAAGAAGAATTAAAACGAAGACGCAGTGCTTCTATGCGGGATTCTAAATCATCCAGTCAATCAGCACCTACCACTCAAAAATAAAATAATTACAATGATGTATTTACAATTAAATAAAAAAAACTTTAATTTATTTATATTGTTATATTTATTATAGTTTTTATGCTTTACCTATCTTTATTTATTAGTACTTAAATATTATAAAAATATTATTGTAGAAAAATATTTAAAAATGAATTATTTAAACATCAAAAACATCAATTTTCATATATTGAATTAAATTTATTAAGCATATATGTTTTTTAACTTCTAATTTCTTAAAAATGAATTATTTACTTATATAGAATTATTACTTATATAGAATTTGTAAGATTAGCTATACAATGTTAATTCTAGAAGCCAAAAGAAATATAAAGTTGATTTACAAAAATGTTGAAGCTTATTTGACTTATAAGTAGTTTGTATTAGGTGACAACTAGAAAACAAAATGGAGAATAAAATAATGGTGTAGCGAAAATATAATCGTTTTAGTATGTAAATATATTAAAATTTAAAATAGAATTTAAAATATATTATTTATTCTGTATAAATAGAATTGAAAATAATAATTATATCAATAAAAAACATAACAAATACAATTTATTATATTTAAATTTTTATGTATATTTTAATATAATTTTAATGTTAAAAATATTTAATAAACAACAATTATTAATTCATTATGAAGATAAAGAAATTTATTTATTATATATGGTTTTCTTGTCGAAATTATAATCTTTCCCAAATACTCATAAGGTTAGTATTAATTAATTTTTTAAAAATATTGTATATCTTAATTATATATTTAAATATAAAATAGACGAGGAGAAAATATTTTAAATAAAAAAATAAAAAATTATTTAATATTTAATATCAATTATATATTTAAGCATAAGCAATATCTATTTACAGGCAACATTTTAATAAGTCCTATTGTACAAATTCTCAAGTTACTAATGAATATGAAATACCAATAGAAAATATTCGTAATTTTAGTATTGTTGCACATGTTGATCATGGTAAAAGCACACTTGCTGATAGACTTTTAGAAATAACAGGTGCAATAAAAATAAATTCTGGTAAACAAATATTAGATAAACTACAAGTTGAAAAAGAACGTGGAATTACAGTTAAAGCTCAAACAGCATCCCTTAATTATACATATAATGGAATCAATTATCTTCTTAATTTAATAGATACACCTGGTCATGTTGATTTTTCTGCTGAAGTACACCGTTCATTAGCTCCTTGTCAAGGAGTAATTTTAGTAATAGATGCAAATGATGGTGTACAAGCACAAACTATGGCTAATTTTCACTTAGCTATTAAACATAATTTAGTTATAATACCAGTAATTAATAAAATAGATTTAAAATATGCCAATCCTGCTAAAGTTATAAATCAATTAGAAACATTATTTGACATAAAAGAATCAGATGTTTTAAAAATATCTGCTAAATTAGGCACTGGAGTACATAAGATTTTAGATGCTATAATTGAAAGAATTCCACCACCTAATGTATATAGAAATAAAGCCTTCAGAGCTTTGATATTTGATAGTTGGTATGATAAATATAAAGGAGCAATTTTACTGATATATATTAAAGAAGGATCTTTATCTATAAAAGAACATATTACTACAATATATACTAAGAAATCTTATGAAGTTAGAAATCTTTCATTATTGAGACCTTCTGAAGAATATGTAAATAAATTGTAAGTATTTTTATAAAAATATGTTAATTATATTAATATATATATATATTCGATCATATATTAATAGATGATGTTTAGATTTGCAGGTCAAATTGGATGTATTTCATGTAATGTGAGATCTTCCAAAGAAATATTGATTGGAGATACATTACATATAAAAAATCAAATTACTGAACCTTTACTAGGATTTAAATCACCAAAACCAATGGTTTTTTCAGGCATCTATCCAATTGATCAATCAGAATTTCATAATATACAAATTGCTATTGAAAAATTAACATTAAATGATAGTAGTGTTTCTGTTGCATTAGAATTTAGGTATTTTTTATGATATTTTTCGAATCTATTAAATAAGTTAGATAAAAAAGGCTTATAAGTACAAAATACTGAATATAAAATAATTTTATATATATTTACTTTATCTTAAACATTTTTTTAAATTTTTATTTTAGCGTAGCTCTTGGTCAAGGTTGGAGAATTGGATTTTTAGGTTTATTACATATGGAAGTATTTATGCAAAGATTAGAGCAAGAATATGGTGCACTTTCAGTTGTTACAACTCCTAGTGTTACATATAAAGCAAAAATTATTGGTAAAAAGAATATTAAAAAGTACAAAACTGATATGATTTCATTTAATAATCCTGCAAATTTTCCTGATCCTCATATTATAGAAGAATTTTATGAACCTATGGTACTAGGAACTATTATAACACCAAGTATGTTTAATTATCAAATTTTATAACATAACTTATATAACTAAATTTAAAAAAAAATTCTATATCTTTTAATTATTTTCTAGATGAGTACATGGGTACAGTAATGACTTTATGTTTTGAAAAAAGAGGAGTACAACATTTCACGAAAAATATTGGTCATAATAGAACATTATTTCAATTTTTGCTACCATTGAACGAAATTATTATTGATTTCCATGATACATTGAAACGTGTAACTTCAGGATATGGTACTTTTGATTATGAAGACCATGATTATGAATCTACAAATATTGTAAAAGTAATTATAATTATTTTAATATATTCATGTAATAATGTTATATTTAAATTATAAATTATTTCTATTATAATTAATAATTATATTTTGTAGTTAAATATTGCTTTAAATGGTAATATAGTGGAAGAACTTAGTACTATTGTACATATTAGCAAACTTCAGATAATGGGCAGACAAATATGTGAAAAATTAGTAGATATTCTCCCACGTCAATTATTTGAAATAGTAATTCAAGCAATTGTTAATGGAAAGATTATTGCAAGAGAAACTTTAAAACCATACAAAAAAGATGTAACTGCAAAACTGGTAAATAATTTTTTTTATTGAATATTGTATATTTTCATGTATCTTTATTATTAATTTTTTTCATTTTAGTATGGTGGTGATATTACTAGAAGAATGAAATTATTAACTCAACAAGCAGAAGGAAAAAAAAAAATGAAGATGATCGGAAGAATATGTATACCAAGAGATACATTTATAAATCTTTTTAAAAAATAATAAAAATATAAAAATTATCATTTTAACTTTTATATTTAATATAATTATAGATATAATCACATTAAAGTAAATTATTAAATACATTTTCATATAACTAATATTTTACTATTTATTCTACAAATATAAAATATTTTTTAAAATTTGTTTTATCATTTTAATATTTTGATATAATATATATTATCAATGAAATTAATTTTTTTAATATTATATTAGAAGTATTATATCATTGATTTACAGAATTAGGCATAGGATCTGATAATTGATGCGTGTTACTTGAAGATACAGTATTTACAGAGTTTATATTTTCTTGTTTGAAAGTAGAATTAGTATTAAGATTAATATTAGATGTGGATGCTGGATCTTGCATATCTAATTGACTTTGAGCAATATCTTGCAAAGCAGCTTGAATCCTTTGTAAAAGAGCTTCTCCTTGTTTTACAACTTCTTCTAGCTGTTCACCAGCTTCTTGATTTTCTTGTTCAAGCCGACTAAGACTTGCAACTTGTAATTCTTGTGATGATTCTTCACTTGGCAAACTTTCTATTAAAGTATCAATATCTTTTGCACATCTTGCTATAAGTGTTGCAAACAAAGCTGCATAATCTAAAATATAAATATTATTTATATAAAAAACATGAAGAAAAATAAATTATATATAAAAATAAATATACAACCTTCTTGAGGTTGATGTGGCTGTGGAGTTCCAACACGATCAACAAATTTACTAGGTATTGAATATTGTTGTAAAATACCCACACTGTTACAAAAATGTTCCGCTTGCTAGAATAACAAATATAAATTAGATTATTATATATATTATGAATAATTATATATTATATATATTATAAATATAAATAATTTTTATAATCAATTACCTGATTTATAGTATCTTGTAATTGTGTTAAACGATCTGCCATATTTTTCAAATATAATCCTTACAACTATATTCTTCTTATAATATAATCAATAACACTACTCTAACATCACTTTATTTAAATACAATATTTAATATTACCATGAAATATGATCATGAAATTTCTTTATTCAAAAGAATCAACGTTCGTGTTTAGATTAATTGATTTTAACTAACCTTAAAATTTACCGCAGCTTTAAATATAATTTATGATATGGCAACATCGCTTTCGTTTGAATCGTAACCATGAATATTCGGAAACTATATTTTAATATTGCAGTAAATGAAAAATATATAACTAATATTTTTTTAAGAAATTAGTCTAAATATATATATTTTTCTAATAATTAAATTTAATAAATAAAAGTTATAGAATATTAAAAATTAAGTAAAGGAGCGAAGTATAGAAATTTCAAGTTTGTATGAGATTATAGTTTTAAATATTTATATTTAAAATATTTACATTAATTTAAATAAATATTAGTACTAATAAATTTAAACTATTTTATAAACAAAATTACGCTATTGTTCACATTATTATATTGAATTATAATATATATTTCACTTTTTCTTCTTGTTTATCATGCAATAGCTAAAAACAAATATTTCATAAAATCGCAAAAAATCTCGTAAATTTATAAAATGTGAAATTATTAATTTGTAATAACTTAATTAATTATATCGATGTACATTGTTGCCAAATTTATTCTCATCAGTTGTATCCAGAATAGGCCAGCATAAAGAAAAAAAATTTCAAACAATTCCAAAATTATATATTTGATCGATAAAAGATGAAAAACAAAAAAAATAAAAAAAATTTTTCATTTTTATGCTATTTTATTTGAATTAATTATATATCATTCAAATGATTATTTTAAAAATATTGCTTATTAGAAATTATAAATATGAAATACATGAATATGACATACACAGGTGATATATTAATCATTATGTACAAACTGAATGTTATTCATGTAAATACTTCACATCATTGCATACATGATCATGGCTCATGAGTGCACACAAGTGAAGTAAAAATGTCTCTAAATATAATATATATAATTTAAAAAGAGAAATATATATATATATATATATATTTCTTAAAAATGTTTAATTTCTATCGAATTAAAAATGGAAATTCTCTTATATCGATCGACATGAGCACTTTTAAAAATTATTATTTTATTTTTAACAGAAACATAATAGGAATAAAATCTTAAGTCACGTATATACAAAAACAATTGTAAATTATAAATATTATAACGATTTCCAAATTCATTTAGATATTTAACGTAGTATAATTATGAGAAGGAAGTTAAAAAAGAAAAGGAGTTCATATTAACTTAATTTAGCATTTTTCCATTGCATTTTATAAAATGTTTACATGGGGAAATATTTACAAAAATATGAGTAGGGTATGATGAAATGTAGAAGATAGGAAAAGGGATGAACAATATAGTTTTATAAACGATTTAATTGAGAGTACCCCGACATTGAGGAGCTCCACATAGGCAAGGGATTTTATCATCCTCCAATGGAAATTTATAATCATATGTAATTTCTTCGTTAACTCCTATTGGTTGTTTACTATAGATTACAATTTTCTTCTGGCTCTCAATTGTAATTACTTTTGCATAACAATTCGGCTGAAAATAAATGAAAATTAATAATATAATTTCGGATTATTATATAAATTTATAAAATATATTCTATGAAAATGAAACAAACACTAGTATAGTACTCACATTGCAGCTATGATTAATAAACCGTGCTAAATTTCCACACTTTGTTGCATCAATAATTGTATCTAAATCAATGCGGAAAAGATAGGAGCTACCGATACCGGTAGCTTCGTATTGAGACTCTCGTAAATCAGCAACAACTGGTCTAACCATTTGACCAACATATTCGATAACCATTTCATCAGCTGCAATTGGTTCCATAGCAAATAAACCCCAATCATGTATACCAGATTTAGCAAATTTCAATTGTTTTTTTCTAAACTATAAAATAAAATAAATGAGATTAGATTTTTTTGAAATAATTAAATATAGTTTATAATTAATGGTTAAATGAAACAACTAAATTCTTACTTTCAACTGATTAAATTTAAGAAGGTCGCTATCAGTATCGATACCGAAAGCTGTTAATAATCGACGTTGATTACTTCGAGCTTCGCGAGATAAAGCTTGCATTTTACCAGTTAAAGCTTTAGTATTATTCTTTGGACCATTCATTGTTCCATCACCAGAGACATAAGAGCCATTATTATCTTCAACGTCATTGCTTCGTTGTATACTTTGTGCATAATGATGCTATAAACAATAAATTTTAATAAATTAAAAAATTAATAATTAATTTATTTATTACAAAAAGTAATAAAAATTATTTATGTTAATATTATGTTAATGTTCATAATCATAGAAATTAAATACGGAAATATGATATTTTATTATGAACTTTTAAAAACATTTTTTTTAAATCTGAACTTTAAAAAATTTCATATTAATAATATATATAGTTATGGATTAGTAAATATTAATAATTATTAAAATAAAAAGTATATACCTTATGTTTAGCTTTTTCACGTACATCAACTTTATAATATCCTTCTGTCCTTGCACTTCCGCTTGTATGCAATCTAAGTTCATCTCTTTTTCTACGTTTTGCAGGACTTGGAATATCAGTTGGAGGATGATCAACCCAGTGTGTATCATTTAACCAATAACCTTGACTATCATCGGCTAATAAAGCTTCGTAACTTCGTCTTAAATATTCTACATCTTCTGCGTCTATTCCTCTAGTTAAAAATTCATACAAAATAGCCATTTCTGACATAAGATCACGTTCTTTGTATGTAACTATTGGTTCGTCAACTTTTTTTGGATATTTCTCATAAATATATTCATTTTCGATATTTTCTTTTTCTCCTTCATGATTTTGATGAACACGCATTTTAGTATATTTATTGTATTTTCGTTTCTCTACTTTATGTGTTTTGTCTTTGTTCTTAGATAATTTTACAATTTTTGAGGATTTAAGTTTTACAGGTTTTATTGGTACTGAAGGCGTACGAAGTACAGATTTTGCAATTTCTGATTGTGTTGGTGGCAATGAATATGAATGTTCCATGAATACTTGTGAAGCTTGTGAATTTTTTGGACTTTGTTGGCTATTGAGTCGAAGATCAGCTTCAGCCTGATACCTAATTAATGCAAAATGGAATAATATCATATTTTATGTTAATTTATATATAAATAATATATATAATTTATTTTTATTTTTATTTAAATTTACAAACCGTAATCTTCTAATTTCTAAGCTCTCTTCCTCCGAATCAGTAGTAGGTATCTCACTAAACATTTCAATTTTTTCTGATTCTTTTAATATAGGTTCATCGTTAATATACTTAGCAGACATTGTTTGAAGAGCTCTAATAATATTTGGTTGTACAGGTCCCGGACTTCTATGTCTTATAATATTATCTTGGCCAGCTAATGTTATTAAAGCTTCTGCTGCAGAATTTTCCATTTTTTGCATATCACATGATTCTTGTTTACCTGATGCTATTGAAGTATTTTTTATTTTTTTTTGTACTTCATCTTCCACATTCTTTATTTCTGTATCTTCGTTGACTATTCGAATGTTTTCAAGATATTCTTTATCCACAGATTTATCATCTATTTTTTCATTGTCTTCTTTGTCACTTTCATATTCCAATGGAGATAATACAGGGCTAGCTTCATCATCACATTGTGGGAATTCATTTGAACTTACATCTTTTATCTTAATGTTAGGTATTGGTGTCTCTCTACCAGTAGGAGTTGGACAGTCTAATGATCTTTGAATTGCAAGTTCTGTTAAAATATCAGGATCTTCACTATTGCAAGCCAAGGGCTGATGATCTGACAAATGGCTGTCTGTATCTTGCTGAAAATAAAAATTATTTTTATGAAAAAATATAAAAAAATATAATAGATGAATGTATGTGTTTAAAAATTATTTGTACTTTAGTAAATTATATACCTCATCTTCAAAATTTCCAGAACATACTTCTTCATCGGAACTATCACTTGAACTATTAGAAGATTCACTGCAACTCATTTCCTCACTACTACTCTCACTTGATGCAGATGATGAGGAAGATGATGAAGAAACACTTGGAAGGGAAGTAATTGGCCTTTTAACTTTTTGCACTGATGCTAAGTCAAGATCACTATCGCTTCCTATGAGTTCTGTATCAGCATGATCAGATTGACGACTATCTTCATCTTGTGGTAATGGGCTTGGAGCTTTAATTTTGCGCTAATAATACAAATAATGAATTTTATAGTTATTATATATTATATAGTATATATATATATATATATAATAACTATATAGAATTATATAGTTATTTATATAGTTATATTACTAAATATTCATATATATTATATTATTAGAAATAAAATCTTATATAATAAAAATAACAATTCTACCCTGAAAGAAGGCATCTTTGGCATGCTAGCTCTAATGCCCAAACCAAATCCATCATAATTAAATCCAAGTGGAGTTCCTTGTTCCAAAAGTAATGATAATCCTTGAGGTTTTTGACCTTCTTCTTTATTACTGTTATTAACAGTGGTATTTTCTCCTTCTTGATTTCGACTTTTCTCCGACTTCTTTTCATCCCACCATACTTCAAACAGTTTAAATGCTGTATTTTCAATCATTTTTTTATTAAAATCTTTTTTTAGAATTTGTTTTAATTCATTTACAACTCTGTTTAATACGCCATTAATAGTAGGACCCTAAATATTTAAAAATTAAATTATGTAATACTTAAATTGATTAGTAATAAATATATATTTGATATATATTATTTAAAAGATTATATATATATATATGTACTTGTGGATTATCTTTTGTAATATTGTGATTTGCCATAGCATGAAGTCTTGATTGGAAAGATGGATAATAATTTGCTCCTTGATGATTTCCTACTGTTCCAGAAAATGATGTAGTATTTGGTTGATAATGACTTTGTAAATATGTTGTTCCATAGGGATATGGATATTGTGCTGGTCTTGGCCAATGATACATATCATTGGCTGGATAATGAGTTAAATGTCCAGGATAACCAGCTCCTGGATATAACTGACTCGTGGGTTCTGTTTGAGCTATAACCTATATTTAAGTAATAAAACATAAATAAAGAGATATAATTATTAAAAAATTCACTTAATATTTTTATTATTACCTCTTCAATTTTTTCATCCCCCGAACTTAATGGACTTAATGACATTCTATCATCATCAGGCGGAGGTGGAGGTGGTGGATCTTTTGGTGGTTCTGGTTCAATTTCATCTGGTGCAGGACTATAACTACCCAATAATGCTTCATCTTCACTTGAACTTATAACACTTCCTAAATCTTCATCAACAGAGAATTGATTAATGCTATTTTCGTGTACTTTCCATCGTTCTTTATTCCTTTCTCTAATTTTTTCAAAACATGATTTATATGTTTCAAGAGATAGAAAAGGGCTTGGTGGTTCTGAAAGCATTTCATTATCTGCATTGACAGATTTTTTTTCATCTTCAGAATCACTACCAAACTGCAAGAAAGGTGGTGCCATTCCTCCTGCTTTATCTTTCAATAACATAGCAATTCTAGTATCCAAATCTAATGTTTTACGAGTTTCTATTGGTGAATCTCGTGATGAATTTTTTGTAACATTTTGATTTTCTTTTTCTTTTTTAGGTATATGATGTATTTTTACATTAGAAGTCTTAGAAATTGGAATTGTATTAGAATTAGGATTATCTAAATTTGTTCCATGTTGAACAGGCCACATAGAAGATGATGCATAATTTGCTGTTCCTGTATTATTTCCCCACCATATATTTGAATTTTGCTGCATTGAAAGATTTTGCGATACATTTTGTGGCATATTTGCTAAATAATTATTTGGAGGTTGATGATGATAATTACTATAATAAAAATCATAATTTGTAGCTGGAGTAGAATTTTGAGAATAATTACTAGAATAATTTAGTTCACTAGGTGCAGTACCATAGCCTAAATCACTTCCTGCACTGCCACTAGGAGTAGGATAATCTCTATATTTATTGTATCTTGAATTTTCTATATATGTATCTCTTGATTTTTCTACAGTGGATACCAATTTCTTACTACTTCTGAAATCATCTCTTTCTTCACTAATCATTTTTTCAATTGGAGTTTGTTTTCCTTGTTCATTTTCGGACTTTATTTCTTTCTCAATTTTCTTTTCTGGCTTTTTTTCTGTAGTTAATTCATCATAAATTTTTTTACACTCTTCTCCAAATGCATCAAGAAATACTTTTAAAACTTTACCCATCACAGATGTATTATTTAATTTTTCAACACAAGCTCTTGAAGCTTTTGTAGTTTCAAACACTACTCTTGCAATTCCAAGATGTTTATTAGTTATAGGATGATAATAAACAATGAGTTCTTCTACAGCTCCAAATTTTTGAACCATGTCTGATAAAAAAGTTTTATCAATATTGTCATTTAAATGACAAAATGTTACTTCAAGTGGAGGAGGTTCACCACAATAATTAGAGTCAATTTTAAATCTAGGTACAGGTAAGTCAAGTTGTTCTAAACGAGTCCAAATTCTTGTTAATTGTGATCTTGGATCTCTAGGTTGAACTTCAGGATAAGTTGGATCTCCTGGAACCATGCCATCATATCTATATAATTTTGTTGCACCTTTTACCAAGAATGGATCAACTAGTAGCTTATAATTTCTTGGTTTCTGAGGTGTTTGAACTACAGGTGTATCTTTTTGTAAATGCAATGCATGGGTATGGCTATGTTTTGATGATTGACTTGAATTTTGAGATACACTTTGTAAATTTCCATGTGAATGACGATGACGATGCGAGTGTGCATGTGAATGTCCATGTCCATGCCCATGTCTCTCCATTCCGTTCATTGCCTCCAAGCATTATCCACTCATAAATTGCTGCAAATTAAATTTATCAATAATAATTATATTATATGAATCATATTAGATGTTAAAATATAAAAAAATATAAATTTTTTTAAATATTAAATAACATTATATATTTAAATACATAGTAATTAAATATTTAAATAATATATTTTATATAAATAAAATAAAATATATAAATATTATAATTAAACATTTATGTATTTGAAAAATATTAACATATATAAAATGTTACATTATTATATTTTAATTAAAAAAACAATATTATTAATTAAAAACTTGAAACTTCTTATATCATCATTTTTAATCAATAATTATGAAAGTATTCAATATTTAAAAAAAAAAATTAATAAATGTATAAATGAAACAAGTAAAATAAAATTAAATACAATCATCAAAATGCATTTCTTAAAATAAAATATAAAAACTTACAATAATATAAAGAATATTATTTGTTAATATGAAACTTAATACATATCATAAAAATTTATTCTGAATTTTAACTTACTTCCAGTTTGTTTTTGTTTTTCTGATGAATTGCTTTGATTGTTAATATAAGAAATTCATGTTTCAATAAAACATAACCTCAAACATTTCGAAGATTTTAGGTTGGACTTTAGTACGAAGAAATATTATGACAATCATTTCATAAAAAGAATTCTTATATTATGTCTTTTAAATTTACTTTTTTGTATAAATTCCAATCAAGTGAAGATTTTTTGTGAAAAACACAGTCCTCAAATTTTGTACAAGTATGTTCCGGTTTTTTCAAAAACTTGTAATTTTTCAACTTGCTCGAATAATGTCGTATTTACTATATGAATGTTATTTATACATCAGCCTTGATACTTGACTTTTCTTTATTCTTCGTTGACTTTTCTTCGTGAAAAAAGTACAGGTTTATTGATACTACCTTTCCGACCAGCGCAAAACTACCTCAATGTTTGACTGTTAAGCACAACGCACTGCGCCCCGATTTTCCTAATTTTTCACAACTAATAATCAGTAGTACAAACAATAGTACGCAAACTAACTAATTCAGTGAAACTTATTCCACTTTAACTTTATGTGTAGAATACGTTTACTGTATTTTAACAAATTTATAGCTTTAATAAAACTATGCGAACAGATTCAGATGACGCCATCCTTGTTACAAAGAACATGACGGTCCTTTTAATCATTTTACTAAATAAATCATATTAATATTTTTAATAAGAATAGATATTTTACGTTATCCATAAAACAATATTTATAGAATTGTTCCAAAAAATTGTTACGCTAAAGTATCCCAAATGAAAGTCCAAGTAGATAACAGAGCCAAATATTCAACATTTTTTTTTCGTTTCCTACTCTGTCTTGATTCACAAATTTTCGTACAGTTGAAAAAATAGTTGAAAATTTTGCCTACCGCTGGCATTCTGTATATTTACCAATAATTTACAAAGGTAATTAAATGTTTAACGACAGTATTGCAAAATAATTGCTGAAAATCTTCTTCCCATACAATCTGTAGTATTTAATCCACGTATTGGTCAGTTGCGATCTAAGAGAATTTTCTGGCTACCTATTAACAAATCAACTTTCTGCTTTTAAAGAAAATTGCGCATTATCATGCGCACACGAAAATATACATGAATACTATAGTTCATATTGAAATAAAATTTTAAATATCACATATTTTCACATTGACATAAATTTAAGAATGGAAGATTTAATTACTTATGAAATAAATATTGTCAATGAAATTGCAAATGCACTCGCTTTGATATTTATTTAAATGCAATATAATAAATAATAATATATTTCATAATTTATAAATAAAATTTAGATAAAGTAATGACAAAATAATGATTTTTTTTAGTAATCTAGTTTATTAATTGTTATCTTAATAATAATTTTATTTACATAAAATATAGCTTAAATTATGATTAATTGTTTTGAAATTTTATTCGGGTATCTTTACAATTAAATTCATGAAAACTTTTTAAATTGTAATAAAATCCATATTAATTATCAAAATTATCAATACTTTTACTTTTTAATTTATAATTTACTTATTTATATATATTAAATTTAATATGATTATATTTCTTAATTTATTACACAATTTAAAAAATGATAACTTATATATTATTATAATCTGTTTTCATTAAATATAATAATTTTTTTTTATTTTGTTATAAAATACAATTTCTTAAACATTTTTCTATTATCATATATCACGATATTTATAGAAATCGTACTTAAGTTTTGAGTAAATTTTCTAACACAATTGCCATCAAATATAGTTCATTTGTAAGACAAGCAACCCAGGTTAAGATTTTCTACCAATTAACAGTCGTATTACAAGCCGGAAATTTAGTGCATGTTCAAAATTAATTTATAATATCTGTGTAAAATTAAATAAAAATATGTCTTTCTTACAAAATATTTTTAAACGTTATATCCCAACTGTAAAGGCTGAAGATGAAGAAATAGTTGATCCTCAAAAACTACTTCGTGTAAGCAAAAATTGTTATATAATACTCATATTACAATAATTCAAAATTTTATTTTTCAATGTTTTACATTCATAATTAATATTTATTATTGAAATTATTATTTTTTTTTTCACTATAAACGTATATACATTTATAATTAATTAATTTATTCTTAATATAAAATATAATTATTTGAAATTTTATATGAAATTATATTATAATATAATATAATAATATTATTAATTTGTAATTAATTTTTATAAAAATTAAAAATGTAAATTTTTTTTAATTTTGATATATATATATTCATTTGTATTTTCAATAAATATATCTAAATAATATAAAAATTAAGTAATTTGTTGCCATTTTTTTAATTAATTAAAATAATATTCTATATATCAATTTTTTATGAACTAAATTTATTAATAATACTTTAATATGTAATCATACATTGATGTATATAATATATTATTTAAATTATGAATACAAATATTAATCTTTTAAAAATCATTTCTTAAAGATATCAGAATATATTGTTATTTATTTCTTAGGAAAAATGTTCAAAACTACCTAATTGTAGTGCCATGCAAGATAAATTAAACACTTGTAACGACCGTGTTAATTCAAGAAAAGAAACTGAAGAAACTTGTATGGAAGAATTAATTGATTATGTAGAATGTATAGATCATTGTGTAGCAAAAACGCTTTTCACTAAGCTTAAATAAGGTTATGATTTTATTAAAAATGTGATTTTTATTATAAAACATGTTACAAATTAATTCAATACATTGTAGATAATATGTAATGTTAGGAATAAATGATAATATATCAATAAATAGTAATTTTTATCAATATTTTTTCATTTAAAATTTAATACCTATAAATTTTTTTAACAAACTTTCAACAAGAATAATCATATAATACAGCAAAGTATATATAATGATTTGCTCAAAATAATACAAATTTTTGGTATATTTTTTATGACAAATGCATATGGAATGATTATTTTATTTACAATATGAATATGTAATTTATTTAGGCTTTTTTTTCATTCAGCACCTAATTGCAATACATCAAAACATACTGCACAAACACGAACAGGTTTATTTAATCCAAATTTTACGATTGGAACATCTTGATCAGAACATTTATTGCACAAAATTCGACCACAATGACGGCTAGAAATTATACAAATAATTAATTTTATATAAATATTAAATATATTTATATAAATATTTCATAATTTTCATACCAGTGATGTTTTCGCATTGTGAGAGAAAATTTTGTTCCACATTCTAAACAAAGATCTTTATCAGCCCATGGTGCTTCTTGTGTCAAGGAATCTAATAATCTGTATAATAATTGTTTCGTTGCTACTTGATAATTGAAAATTGTAATACCTTCTTTATTCATAGAACCTAAACATGCACCAGCCTTTACCAAAGTACGACAAAGTTGACCATTTCCTTTCATATAAGCTATTAGTAATGGAGTATTGCCATCTAAATCTTGAACAAAATATTTTTTTTAATTTCAGTTTATAATAAAATATTATTTTAAATAATATTTAGGATTTTTTGTATTAAAAAACGTAGTAACTCAAATTATTATCAGATTACTCAGAAAATAATGTTTTTTCTATTTTAAGTAATATAAGTAATATAAGTAATATAAAAATAAAAGAAAAAATTATTTTTCTCTAAATAAATATTCTAACATAATTCTAATATTTTGAAATAAAACAGTTTATGTGTTTACCTGCATTATTTACTGGATATTGTGACATACATTCTAAAAAAAGTTCACATATAGTTGCAGCATTATCTTTTCCACATCTAGCTAATTCATGTAAGGGATTTCTTCCTTTAAGATTTACAGCCTCTGCATCTAATGTACATTCAGTCAAAAGTGTTCTTACTACTGATACATGACCTTCTCTTACAGCTACATGCAATGCATTATCACCATCTGCATTTATAGCATCAAAATTAATATTGTTCTAAAATAAAAAAGAAAAATTATTATTTTAAATTAAATTAGTTTAAATATTATATATTGTTTAACAAAATTTTTTAAACATATTTTTTAGATCAAATATATATATAAATTATATATATAAATTATTTTATCACCTGTAATAAAGCAGATATAATTGATGCATGACCTGCTTTTGCAGCAGTATGCAATGCAGTATTTCTATTTGCATCTGTATCATTAACACGTGCACCAGCCAATATTAAACTTCGTACTAACATTTCATTTCCAGAAACTGCAGCAAGATGTAAAGGTGGAGTTTGTGTAACATCATGAACTCTGGAATTTACATCTACCTACAAAATGAAAATCATTTTATTATGCATGTATTTTTTGATGATTAGTTTATCAAATATTTATTCAAATTTTGATAAATATAAATTTAAATGCATTGTTATATAATTATAAAAACGATTACTTGTATAGACATCAAGAATAATATGCTTTCCATATCATTTTTTTGAATAGCAGTATGTAAGAAGTTTCTGCCTTTATTATCACATTGTTCAGCAGCTTTGGGAAGCCGTTCTAATATTGCTTGAGCTGCTTTGTTGTTCCGAAATGTTAAAGCTGTTGCAAATGGTGTTAAACCTTTTTTATCTCTTATATTTAAATCTATATTAGGATGATAAAGTAATAAAGAAATAATTTGCGAATGTTGATTTTGTATGGCTACATGTATTGGAGTTTTTCCCTCAACATCTCGAGCATTTACATCAGCATCATGTTCAATAAGTGTTTGTATCACTTGTTCTAAACCCCATTGACAACATAAATGTAAAGGAGTACATTCATCTCTTGCTTCATCACCTCCAGTACCATCTGGGCCAGGTCTTCTAGGTGCGTTTAAATCACAACCGCTACATACATATAAGTTTACATTTATAATATGATATTTAATAACAATAATTAAAAATATGTCAAATATGAATATAAAAATATCTTTAAAAAAATATTAAAATTACGAATTTTAAAGTTAATATATCATTTAAAAAAAACAATTTATTGTGTTTTTTTTATTTTATTATTTTTATTTTATTGTCAACAAAAATATATATATTCTATTTACCTCCTTATAAGGAATTGTGCAATATCCTCTTTGTTATGATCAATTGCTCTGTGTAATAATGTTTGTTGGCAATTATCTGGACCAGAACTCCAACAATCAGTATCTGCTCCATATTTAACTAAAATAGATGCTACATCTTCTTGATCTGAATCTAATGCATCCCATAATGGACATCCTATAGAAGTATCTGCACCCCTTTTACAAAGAGATTCTACAACTTCACCAAGTCTACAATGTACAGAAAGTTGTAGTGGAGTTTCCCCATTTGCAGTCCTAATAATTAAAATTTTTATTGAATTATAATTAATAAAACTTTTATACAAAAATTTTCATAACTTATAATGTATTCATCTAAATTATTTAAAGATTTTAAATTTTACTTCACTTATAATAATAGAGGAATAGATTGTTAGTTATAATTTGTTTTCGTTAGTTATAATATTATTTTTATGAATTTTTATTTTTTATTAAAGTTTCTTGTAATATCTAATATTAAATAATATTCAATTAAATGAATTATATAATATAATAAATAAATATGATTCACTCTTTAAAGTGTTGTAATACTGTTTACCTAATGTTCATATCTGCACCATTTTCCAATAAAAAAATCGCTGTTGCCGAATCTTCTTTTAATATTGCTTGATGTAACAATGTTAAACCTTCTTTATTACATTGATTGATATTCGCTCCAGCTTTTATTAACGCTAAAACTATATCTTTGCCTTTTTTAAATGGAGCTTTAATAGCCAAACTTAAAGGTGTTTCATTTGCGTTATTTTTTAAATTTAATTGGGAATTTGAATTAGGTGTATCTAATAATTCTATTACAATATCAAAATATAAATTCAAAACGGCAATATGTATTGGCGCATCACCAGTAGACAATGTAATTTCATCAACTGGAAAACCAGTTTTTAATAAAGCTCGCGTTAAATTTTTTGATCCAACTTTACAAGCTTCATGTAAAACTGAATATCCTTCTTTATTTTTTTGCATCAAATTATCTTTACAGTAATCAATTAAAAATAATGCTGCTTCTTCTTTATATTCTCTTATTAAAACATGTAGTAAAGTGTCTCCAGTATTTTTATATAAAGGATTTGGAGTTGCACCTTTACTTAAAAGTTTCTTAGCAAAAAGTTCATTGAATGGATCTGTTGTTTTCATTGCAATACACAATGAAGTATCATCTTCATTAGTAGTTCTATCCAAATCTATACTTTGACATTCTAATAATATATCAAAAAGTAATTCGTTTTTCTCTTGAATACAATTGTGTAAAGCAGTCCTGTAAAAATAAAAAGCAAAATTAACAAGAAAATATATAATTTTAATGTTTAATGTTTAATGTTTAATCTAAATTTAAATGTTTAATCTATTTCATATTTTATTATAAAATAATCTTCAAATAATAACATAAAACTACATTTCATAATTGTCTTTGGTGAACTATTTATTTTAAATCAGTGATAATTTTAATTTTTATATATTTTTTATATATTTTTTTTACTATCTTAATTTTTTTCGGCTATCATTATTTATTTTTTTTTTAATGAATTGTTATTGATTTTGAATGGGTCAATTATAAAAATATTTAAATGATATATATGTACCATCCTCTATGATTTTGTAAATTAGGATCGATACCAGCTTGAAGTAATCGAGATGCAACTGTTAACATATTTTTTGAATTATGCTTTGTTATTAAATGTAAAGCAGTACATCCTTCGAGTTCTTCAGGATTTTTTATATCTCGCACATTTCCAGTAAGTTTTATAGCTTCGCATAACTCTTTTATATTTTTATTATTTTCCAACTGTTCTATTATGAATTCAGCCGCATAAGAATCTCCTTTAAAAATAGCAGCTTGAAGTAAAGAAAAACCTCTCAAATCTTTTGTATTTAAATCAGCTCCATGTTCAACCAAAGTACGCGCCAACGATGGTTGACGAGATTTTAAAGCAACTTCTAAAGGCGTTTCTCCTTTATGATCCAAAGCATTAACAGCTTTCGTTAACTAAAAAATATGAAAATAATAAAATAATTTATTATAAATATATTTTAAATATATAATAATATATATAAAAGAAATACATATAATATTGATACTTTCGATAATTTAATTTATATAATTTATGACTATATATGATGAATATTACAATAATAAAATTTCATATATTTTAAATTTCATTTAAAAATTATTTAAAAATTAAAACTTTTATTAGATTTTTATTATAGATTATTATATTATTATATTAATTTGATTGAGAACCACTGTTTTGATTTTATACCAAAGTATATTGTATGCGTACGCCCAACGAACATTTGCGCATGGATATATATACATGTTTATATGTTTATGCTACCTACAAGTTAGTATTAAGAAATACATAAGCAGTGTAAGAGATTAAATAAAAAAGAATGTGAAGATTAGATTCTGATACAACAGGAAGAGTGGTTTATAAAGAATAGAATAACCATAATGTGGCGTGTGATAGAGTCAACTAACCATAGTCAGTTTCTACTAAAAGGAATATATTTTAATGTAGCACAACGAAAAACAGTTAATCGAAGTCCTGTGATCGTTATGTGATGTTTAGTGAATATTAATGAAAAGTTTTTAAGAATGTATAAAAATATTTGATTAAATATAATGTGATGAAATTAAACGTAAATACAAAATTCCTCATAATACTAATTTTTAAATATTTAAGTATGAATTTATTAAATTATTCCCATATTTTTTAATTAATATTTATTTACGTGCAAAATTTATGAATTATTATTATTTTAATATTATATTTTATTTTTATATTATAATTTGATACTTTCAATGTTATTAAATAAATATTACATAAAATTTATATTATATTTTTTAAAATTTATGCATAATAAATTTTTTATTATGTTAAAGTAATATTACACTATGTTACAATATATTATATTAATATATATTATATAGTGCAATATTAACATATATATATTATATATTAATTATATATTAAAGATTATTATATAATAATTATTTTATTATTATTTTTATAAAAATTATTCTAGTAACTTATTTAATTTTAAATATTTTATAATTATCTAATAGGGATATTGAAAAAGAAAGGTATAGAATATTATTATATACTTTTAAGTAAATTATTGAAACTATTTTTACAACAAATATTATTTTTTAATGTTAAAGATAAAAATTTTTAATGTTAAAGATAAATACAAAATATTATTTCTAATACGAAAATATATAGTTACACATTTTCATATAAATATATTAATTATTACAATAATATAATTCATTTAAAAATATTTATATTGAATTATTTTTAAATATTTCATTTTATTTTTAATATTCAGTATATATATATATATATATTGCAAATATACTCAGTAATTATATTGTTAATAAAATTGTTTTAGGTTTGCATAATGATGATGATGAATTGAACTTTAACATAAAGAAATGTAAATGAAAATTATATCAAAATAGATGTAAATATCAGTTATTCTAATTGTGTGATTTAATTATAAATGAAATGATCTTCCAAATATCAATCAAACAATTAAACAGAATCTTGCTAATTGTTATAATTTTTCTATGTATGTTTATTTTTAAAAATATTTTAATTTTATATAATATAATTAAAATTTTTAAAATATTTAAAATATTAATTTTAAAATTTTAAAATATTAAAAAGTTTCTATTATTTCATGAATATTTATTTAAATTTTATATCTAATATATATATATATATATTATATATAAAATATTATTTTATATTTTTAGATATGATAATAATGCCAATAACTACAGAAGGTATTACATGCTTCAAATGTTTTGCATCACAACCTGGACATGAAAAAACTGATTTATTATGTTCTCAATTTGATGGAAGTTCTCGATTTCAAGTACATTGTCCTTCATCTACACTTTGTAGAAAAAGAACAATTTATTCCAAATTTAAAAGTAAATTTTTGTTACATATAAATTGAAAAAAATAATATAATATTTAATGTCTGTTTTTTTTTTTTTTATCATCTTCTTTTAGCATCTCTAGTCACAGCTGTAGAAAGGGACTGTGCTCCTCAAAAACGTACAGTACGAATTTATAGCGATAATAAGTGGCAAAACAAAGAAGAAATTGTAACATCAGCTTACAAACAAGGTTGTTTTATTGGTGAAGATAGGGGAGCACCAGCAGGTCCACCAGAATATTGTTTTTGTGGTCATCATTTATGCAATTCATCACAATCAATTGAAACCATCAATATATATAATATTTTTATATTAATAACAGTATTTCTATTTGTAACATTATTATGATATTTTTCTTTAAGTACTTATTGTGATAAAAAACATTTTTTTAAATATGTATCCATAATAATTTGAAAAAAAAATAATTATAAAAATAATTATAAAAAAAAAATTAAAAAAAAATTGTTATAAAACAAATAAAAATAAATTTTCGTTCTATAATACTATATTAAAACTCACCAATCATTAAATTGTAAATTAATAGAAACATTTGAATAAATAGACAACATAATAATTCTGCATTGACTATCATTATTGAACTAAAATAAGATTAAATTGATATTGATATTGATATTACTAATATTTGTGAAATATATTTAATTATTATAAAAAAATATTTAATTAATTAATTTTTAAATATTTTTTTTATTTTACTACTTATAAAAAAAAAAATAATAGAATAAAAAACTATATAAAATATAATTATTATTACAAAATCTTATAACCTAGTATAACCTATTTATAAATAAAATCTATTATATACAAATAAATAAATATACATATTTAATTTAAAATATATAACTTACCCCTGAATTATTTTCTACTAAATATAAAAAAACGACATCTTCCCTCATTATTCGAACAGCAGCATGTAAAGGATATTTACTTTTAGTTTGTAATAATTTATATAGCAAAGAGCCAGGCATTTCTTTAAAGTCTTCTCCTGTTAAATCTTCCTAACAACATGAAATTTTGATGAATATTGTAATTAGCATTTAAAAGAAAATTGAAATTATATAATTTAATATTTCTACTTTTCTTACCCAATGTGCCGAAATCAAAGAACTACAATGCTCTTTTAATCTTTGAGCACCTAATTCTTCAGCAGCTGCATATAATTGAACACAATCTTTGAGTCCTACAATTCCAATTAAATATCTTTCACATTGATCAACTAAATCTAATAACTGAAAATTAGATGCTGCTTTCATTAAATCTAATGTTAAATTTTCTTGTAACACCTTTCCCGTATATATCCATTTCAACAATATTAATCCAACATTTGGTTCCAAATGAGTCCAATCTAAAGTACATAAATATTTTTTATTATATTTATATGTATATTTATACATAATTTTTCTTTTTAATTTATATTTTTTCATGTTTTACCTAAAATAGTTACTTCGGTTAATATTGATTCACTAAAAAAATCTGTTCTAGCAGATAATATAAATTTATGTGCTGGTATTTCCTGATCCCTCAATTTAATAATTATATCACTAAAAAATAAATATTTATTAATGATCAAATTTATATATTTATAAATCATGATTTATGATATAAAATAATTATAAACCTATAACGATGTTGATTGAATAATGATGAAATAGTTGTCAAAAGTCTACTAATAAATCCAGTATCCTGTTTATTTGCAGTAACAATAGCATATTCACGTTGAAGTTCTATATTGGTATTATATAAATTAACATACTGTTCTCGCAATAAAGATAAATGCTGTTGCCACTTTTGTGCTTCTGTAGAATCTTCTGAAGGGTTTGAAATATAAAATAATCAGTAAAAGACAAATGTATAGTATATTTTATCAGTAAAAGATATTTTATATTTACCCATAATTATACAAATAATTCTTTTCACTTTTATAAAATATAATTTAAAACTTATTGCATATTCGGCTTTTTATGCTAATTTATATTTGTTTCACATAATCCATTTTATGAAAACATATATTAGAAAAATTAGATGATAATATATGATACTATAGATTATATAAAAATCAGAAATTTCATTAGAAAACTTCCGAAAATAGTGTCGATTTCACTAATACTAAAAAAAATATATTAATAAGATTCTAACACATATCGTACGCCCACATACAGTATTCATTACATTTGTAATTCACATACATAGGATATGTATATATTTTCTTTTCTAAAGAAAATGTAGCCACACTTTTAAAAGACAGAAAAAGTTCCTATATCTAATTAAAATAAAAAATTATAAATTTTAATAGCGGCATTATAAAAATCCAATTTTATTAATAATTAAATTTCTTATATTATGTATGTATTATAAAATGAATTTATCAGTATAATTTGTAAAGGAAAAATGAATCACAACTATTTTGAATATCTAAATATGCAATAATATGCAAACTTGACTTGAGACTTAATATAGTTTCAATCAAGTTACTAGAAATTACTAGTTTCTACTCTTACAATTTCCCGCAATTTTATAAAATATTTGCTTCTAACAATATATTTGTTGTCATGGTAAATCATATAAACAAGATTATAATGAACAATTATAGTTCAGTATAGTAATGCGTAGTGCTACTCAATTATATGATGTTTCTAGAAATTTAATATTTTTTTTAAGTTTTATTTTTCTCTAAAATTTTGCTGTAATTGTATTAAATTATAATTTTAAATAATTGTGTAGATTATTCCATATATATATATATATATATTTACTCTTATTACTTATATATTTACTTATATATATATATATATTTATGTATTTATACTCTATAATATAAAATAAAATAATTTATCATAATAATAAATGTATTACAAAAATATAATTTAAAATATAATATTGTGTAAGTTTTTATAATCAAATTTTTTAAAAATATTTATTATAAATTTATAAAGTAAATGAATTTATATAAAGATATTTATATAAGATATTATTATTAATATTATAAATGTTTCTAATTTTCAAATTAGAAATATGAATTTTTTCATCAAGTTAAAAATTACTTTGAAATCAATTGAATTTACATAAATAATTATAGTTATATTTATAACATTTACAATAACGGGATGATTAATTATAATAATTGAAAAATAAGTATTTTAACTTATTAAAAGAAATGGAAATAAATCAAATTAATAATTTATTATTGAAAGAAAATATACATAAATTATTAGAAATGTGTGCGTCAACGACTAACAAAGGTATTTATAAATTAATTTATATATTGCCCAACTTCAAGTCATGGCATATTTGATATTTATTACTTTTCATTTTATCTTTATTAATTAATTTTCATAATAATTCTCACATAATATTTACATAAGTTTTTTTTTCAAACAAATACATTTAATGTGCAATTAAAAGAAGTTAAAAGAAATTATCATTTATAAATTCATTATATTATTTTTTCAATATAAATGTGCAACAGGAATATGTGCTTCAGATTTGACAGAAATATTCTGTAAACTTGAAGATTGTAATCAATCAAAGTTGACAATTGGAATGTTTTTTGAATTTATGAAACTTGCATATCAAGTTAATAATAATTGTGAAAGTTTAACTACAATATTGACTTCAATAAATAAGATTGATTGGAGTAAATTAGCAAAAATTGATTTAGATTGTACTATACAAAATTATAATAGCACAGATGAAAAATATATTAATAGTGATGTCATGCAGAAACATAAAAGTACTAATGCAACAAAAGAAATTTCATCTGAAACAAATAATACCAATATTAAATATTCTGTACATTGCATTGTACCTTCAGATGCAAAGTTTAAAAATGAGCCAATAGATATTTATAATCAAAATTTAATAACTGATTTTGAAAAATGCAATCAAGTAGGGGAAGCTTCATTACAAGTAGAAGATGCAAAGATTATAAAATCTGTAGATACAACTAAAAATTTGTTAATTACCTTAATGAAGACAAATTTAAGTGATGTATTACATGAAGGTTTATTAGATTCTGTATTGCCATATATGATTCCAAAACCTACTATTTCACAACCTATTATTAAAAAATCTATTACAAATACTGAAGTAAAGAAAAGTAATTCATTAAGTAATAATATTGAAACAAGAGCGATTACAAATGTTGCACATAAAGAAAAAGATAAGAAATTGAATAAAAGATCAATTGAGTAAGTATATTAATAATTAATATTAACTTGAATTAAATTTAATATTGATATTAAAAATAATTTTTTATAGAATTAATAACAGTTTTTATTCTACGCTTGTACAGCAATGAAGTGGAAATTCATGTTTGCGATGAAGAAAAGAATATTAAAAAAAATTTCCGTTGCCCTCAAAAACTTCTTATTCAAAAAATGCGTTATTTTGCTGATGTGACAGCAGGTCAAAAATTGGAAGAAATAGATATATCAGTTCATTGTGATGTTACAATTTTTGATTGGTTAATGAGATGGGTGAAAAAAGATATTATAAAAAAATCAGAATGGCCAGTTTTGGAAATTAATAATGTTATTCCAATAATGGTATCAGCATCTTTTTTACAAATGGAACCATTATTAGAAAGTTGTTTACAATATTGTCATGATAATATGTCTGATATATTGAAAACATCAACAGTTTTAACTGGTTTAGATGATAATCTTTTAATAAGGTATTTCTTTTTTTCACTTTATTTTATTTCTCTATATTTTATATATTTTAAATATTTATTATTCAAAAGAATATATGTGAAAAATAATAGATGTTTATTTAGTTTATAAATTTTATTTTTTTTTATTTTGTTTTTGATTAATTATATATCATTTTTAGTTGATAATTTTTTTCAGATTAGTAGAACAATTTACAAATGAAGATGTTGAAGCATTGAAAGATAAAAAAGATAAAATTCAAAGTAAATTATTTTGCAAATTGATTATGTCTCTTGTTGAAGTAATGCCAGATAACAAAAAAGGACATTATAGTTCTTTAGCAACATTATTTAAATGTAGCAAATGTGGGAAAAATATTATTCAATCAGTTTCTAATTATGTACCATGTATTTCAAGTGCAATGAAAATTGATAATTATGGAAATATTCATAGTAAACACATAAGGTATAATTATATTAATACATAAGATATAATTATTAAACTGATGTAAAAAGTTAACACTATAAGATTTATATAAAATAATTATATAGATAATTATAATAAAATCTATATTATTTAGAGATTTAACATGGACTTTAAATGATTACATTATTACTCTTCGAACGGAATTACGTTCTTGGCGTAAAGTTTATTGGAGGTTGTGGGGTGATTGTCATTTTTTATTTTGTACACAGTGTAATATATATTTTCCAATTCATCAATATGAATGGTGCTGCTATCATGCAGAATTTCCACAATTTTTTATTAATGAACAACAGCGACCTATACCATTTCCTTTAGGCAGATATCCTTGTTGTAGTCAAAGAGCATATAAATTTGAAGTATTACCAAATCACGAAGGTTGCAGGTATAGGGTAAGCATTTGTTAGTATCACTTCTTTTTATTTTAAAAGCTTTTAAAAATATAAGTTTTATAATTGTAATAATAGTATTAAATTATTTTATTGCATTTCCATATAGCATGTTTTTTTTCACTTTAGGAACATATCCCAGATATTAGGACACAAAGAGATATAAGTATATTGAATATTTTTACAGTACATAGAGAAGTAATAGTTATGGAACCACCACAATTATTTTTCCCAGAAAAAATTACTAGACTGGTAGCTCGTGATGTATCACTTCAACCAGGAAAATTAATGTGTAAAGATGTAATGTGGTGGGTTGGTTTAGAACTTGCTCCACCTCGACCAAGACTTGGACTTTTAGGTAAATTAATATTTTTTAATTTTATAAAAAAAATAATAATAATAACAAATATTTAGGAAAAATTTGGAGTGGATCAGGATTTCGACGTTTATCCCAAATGCAAGATTTACAAAAATCATTACAAAAAATTCGTCAACAAGTTTCTATTACAACTGATACTTCATCGATTACATCTTCGATAACAGATAGTGATATAGATGATGGTATTACAACTTATGAAAATACTAGTATTGATGAAGAATCAAATCAAAGTGAAGAATCTCATGCATGGTCTTCATTAAAATCAAAAAATAAAATTAAAAAAAAATTTAGAAATGAAATAATGTGGAGGTGACATATCTTATACAGAAAGAATATATTATAATATTTTATAATATTATATTATATTAAATTTTTAAAATATTTAAATTATTTATAATATTTATTAAATTATTTATTAATATATTTATTATAATATTTTTATAATTATTATTATATTTATATATTATAAATAATTTTAGAAATCAAATTAATTTTAGAAATAATGGTCGATCTTGGAGTGGTAATTTAAATGTAAGACATAATCAAGACAATCAAAGAGATTTCGAAGAAAGTGCAGCTTTACAAATGATAGCACTTCTAACGAAAAGAATATCTGCAGATTCTTCTTCATTATTTAAATCATCTAATAAACATAATCGGATAAAAAAACAATTAAATGGTATATTTATTAAATATTATAAAGTTTTATTATAAATAAATATATATATAAATAATACTATTTAAAGCAGGAGGGATTTATACAAAATTGGAAACTGAACTTCGTGATCAACTAAATCAGTCTTATAAAAATAAAAATATAACTGGGAAATATTTTCTACGTTCAAAATTAAATAAATCATAAGTATTTCAGACTAGTATAATTGTTATTAAATGTTTTGTATGTTGGACTTTTATTAATTAATATTTATTATACTAAATGAACAAATTTGTATATATTTTTCTAAAATTAATTTATTTAACTTATTTCTAAAAATTATTTATAAAATTAATTAAAAATTATATATCTCTATAATAATTATTAAGATATACAATTGATAAAAATATATAATATTTTTCAATCTTTATTTAAGATTTTGTTACAAAATTAAATAAATCTTAGAATAAATGGTACAAAAATAAATATTATGTAGTAATTAAAATAATATAAAACTAGAAGAAATACTTATATTATTTGTATAATACTATTTTTAGGGAAAAAATTGAGATAT